ATGTTTCAATGGACAAATCGATTTGAATACGTAATTTAGATTTAGATAATATTTTTAGCAATTTATTTGAGAAAAATAAAACATTTAGATTATTGTTTGTATTTTCATCGATTTTAAATTTGCTACCCCAAAATAATTGATATCAATACGAATCGTTGCAAAAGTTCTGTTTTTTATTTTGTGTTTCTAGCAGTAGACGGAATTTCGCAACGTTCCGAATAAATAAAAAAAAGATTTTCCCTACGTTTCAAAGGCAGTTAAAAAATGCGTGTCATTTTCGTCACGAAATTGATATCATAAATTTTGTGTTTCTAGTTCAGCTTTCGTCACTCGAAAATTTTACCTCAAAGAGGTGTTTTATTTGATTAACAATTACAGTCAGTTAATAGGAACCCTGGCATGGAGTTGATGGTTCATCCAGTTCATGAAAAGCATAACAGTTACTTGAAATGCGTCTACCTTAACATAATACAATGTTCTGACCGATAACGAAAACACCTTGACAACGAGTTTTGGGATTGTGGGCTGAAGGCTGTTCACACCGACTGTTGGTGTTTTCGTTGACATTGCTTACATCTTTTGTTTACAGTTTTGCTGCACAAATACAAAACCAAAATACTTTTCCTTCAATTTCTTTTCATTAACAACCTTTTACTTCCATGCTTATTTTATTTTGGTCAGCCAATTAACAATAAATCCGAAATGGCGTATTAAAGATGATAAAATATGACTTCCACTTCGATAAATAATCGAAAAAAATTAGTGGAGACACCGATTGGAATGAGTGGAACGTGAGGTTTCAAGTGGTTTTCAGCGAAAACTTGTTTTCGTTTTAGGGAATTTACATGAGGCGATTTTTAGTTGAAAGCCACAATCGCCTGGTGTAAACGACCTTTCAACTATTCGCTTTCAATGAAGTTGGTCGGCTGCCTACTTTCGTTCAACTTTTGGTTCAACTAATCGCTTGTGAAAGTTGAATCATGTAAATTCCCTATTTGACAGATTTTACATTGACGAAAATACTTGTTTTCGATGTCGGTCAGAACATGGTATAAGTAGTATAATACCATGTTCTGACCGACATCGAAAACATGTTTTAGTTGTTAAAACTGGTTTTCGACCTAAAACTTGTGTTTTCGTCAATGTAAAATCTGTCAAACGTAAACAAGTTTTCGCTGAAAACCACTTGAAAACTCACGTTCCACTCATTCCAATCGGAGTCTGCACTAGTTTTTTTCGAGTATTTATCGAAGTGGAAGTCATATTTTATCATCTTTAATACGCCATTTCGGATTTATTCTTAATTGGCTGACCAAAATAAAATAAGCATGGAAGTAAAAGGTTGTTAATGAAAAGAAATTGAAGGAAAAGTAATTTGGTTTTGTATTTGTGCAGCAAAACTGTAAACAAAGGATGTAAGAAATGTCAACGAAAACACCAACAGTCGGTGTGAACAGCCTTCAGCCCACAATCCCAAAACTAGTTTTCAAGGTGTTTTCGTTATCGGTCAGAACATTGTATAATAGCTAATAGAATAGAACTTGAAAGGCTAATTGAAATTGTTGATCCGGATATAGTTCTATGTTCCGAACTTGTACAACAGAGGAAATATATGACTATGAAATACAGTTTCCAACATATCAGGTTGTAAGATGTGACTCGTACAGTAGTGATACAGGAGGGGTAATCATAATATTGCGTAACGCACTAGATTTTAAAATAATACTAAACAAATCTATCGATAAAAATGTTTGGTGTGTAGTTATCCAACTGAGAAATCTCGAAACCAAATGGAAAATCGGGGTGGTCTATCACTCACCTAGTTCAAGTGATGCTGATTTTCTAGCATATATGGAGACCATTTTGTCGGAGATTTTAATATAAACCTGAATATTATGTCGACATATAGTAAGAAACTGAATGAGATATTCGCCCATCAGGCAATGAAACAACTAATTAACTTTAATACTAGGGTTACTGAATATTCCGAAACTCTGATCGACTTAAGGTACTCGAACGCTAAGGAAGTGTCATGTGAAAAAGCGGACGAACATAGAATATCGGATCACGAAACTATAATGTTCAAATGCGATATAAAAAAACAACGCCCTATCAGTAAACTGTCTGAAATAACTTCGTGGGTTGGGTACAGCCCAGACAACCTCATAAATCTTTTGCGACAATGCACCTTCGCTGACCTGAATAGTCTCAGTCCTGATGGTATGCTCGAACATATTAATAATTGTTTGATTTCGAGTATGAATAAACTAACTTCTCGTGTACAAAAGCGGGTCAAAATCCGAAATAAATGGTATGACAGACAATTGACTGAAACTAATAAAGAAAAATTTAAGTTATACCAAAGGGCAGTGATCACAGGTGATTGGCTAGAATACAATGAAATAAAGAAATCGTATAAAAAAACGATTAAAATTAAAAAATACAATATATGGAATACAAGGTGGAAATTAATAGAGGTGATAGTCGTTTAATGTGGAAACATTTGAAGAATATTGTCAATAATGCGGATCACAAAGAAAACATCAAAGAGGTTCTAATCAACGGTAATATATATAGCAATAGTACTGAAATCGCTGACAAGTTAAACAATTTCTTTGTTGATAGTATCAT